GGATTACAGGCGTGTGCCACCACACCTGGCCTGTGCTTTTAATTTCTAAGATGTGTCTTGTTTTTAAAGTCAAGAAAATGCAGAATATAATTTAGAAAATATAATTAACACACATCTATCACCATTGGTTCCAAATATTATTGTCCAATAAAAGAAACCTGGGCTCCTTAGGGAAATGACTGATTCTAGGATTACATATGGGGGGCAGGAAATATACAAAAAGAGCCTGGAGCATCTTGTAGTGCCAGAAAGTAAGAAAGAGCTCAAAAATATAATGACAGGCATATATCAAAGGGACACAAGACTCAACTGGAAGAATTCCAGATAGCCAAAGCTGAACCAATATGAGCAACAAAATAAATAATATTGAATTATAATGCAAAGTATAAAATAAATATCCATGAGTTATTAAATAAATTGGGGAAATGAGACAAATCTCCCATGCAGAAGAACTCCAAATAATTTATGTAGATAACTCCACCTTCAGGCAAGAAGAGCATAATGTTTAAGTGTAGGCTGTGCAGAGTGAGCTCTTTCCAATGAGCACAGTACGGAAAGGAAAAGAGAAAAAGTAACTTCACAGTAGAGAAATCTGGCAAACACTGTCTCAGTTCAGTGATCAAGGTCAATATCAACAACCATAAACCATGCTCTGTAAGCCTTGATAGGACTGATAAAAAAGGCACTTTAACTCTGTGCTCTTCCTTCCCCCAAACCATCATCTAAGTCTAATTATAAGAAAAATATCAGACAAATGCCAACTGAGAGACATTCCACAAAATCATTCCTCAAAATTGTTAAGGCCATCAAAACCAGGGAAAATTCCAGACAGGAAGAGTATAAGGAAACATCGCTACTAAATGTAACTTCGTATCTGGGGTGGGATCCTGGAACACCAAAAGGGCATTGTCTAAAAGCTGAGGAAATCTGAATCCAGCACAGACTAGTTAAAAATAAGTTATCAATCCTGGTTCATTAATTGTAGCAAATGCACCACACTAATAGAAGATGCTAATATATTCAGAGAAACTGTGTTTACTGTATATGGAAACTCTCTGTCCTATCTTTGAAGTTTTTCTGGAAATATAAAACTGTTCTAAAATAAAAGTTTATTAGAAATACAATTGAAATTAAAAAAAAAAAACAACACTTCAGAGGTCAGCCTCTGCTCTATGGTGAACAGCTATTTACAAAGGCTCATTCCTGGAGTACCAGTGTTAAATTCTATCCCCCATTGGGTATGAGTGTTTGAGGAGAGCTGGGTGAGGTGGTGCACATCTGTAATTCTGGCAACTCGGCAGCTGAGGCAGGTGGATCACGAGTTCCAGGCCAGCCTGGGCAACTGAGTGAGACCCTGTCTCAAAATAAAAAATAGAAAGGGCTGGGAGTGTGGCTCAGTGGTAGAGCACCCCTGGGTTCAAACTCCAGTAATGTGGAAAACAAATGTATTTGAGAAGGAAGTGGTTATTGCCTCAAACTAGTTTATATCACAACCTATTTAGACGCTTGTAGGGTGACTAAATACACCAAATCTGGACAAATGTTGCCTCAGAGTCAATGAGGACAATGAAATCTACCATCTTCCTGGATTCTGCTGTGCTACCGAAACTGAAAGCTGGGGAAGTTATACAAAAGTCCAAAGTAGAAGTTCAAGTTCCTCCCTGATACACTAGGTAACAACACAGGATTGAATGCTTGGTCAGCAGTTCTGCCTTGTGTAGGGAACACACAGCTTTTTTTCAATTATAATTCCCTTCCTTTAAATCGTAAGTCATTTCCCCCCATGCTCTGAAATTTTTTCTCTCATTTTTTGATTTATCAGAGAAACTAAGAACCAGCAAGGAGGGGCTGGGGTTGTGGCTCACTGGTAGAGCRCTGGCCTAGCATGTGTGAGGTACTGGGTTCCATCCTCAGCACCACATATAAATAAATAAAATAAAGATATTGTGTTCAACTACAACTAAAAATAAAAAAATTAAAAAAAAAAACAGCAAGGAGTCTACAAACACAGGACAGAACCAAGAAAAGCTCTCTGTTCTTGTAAAGCCTAAAGAGCAGGGTTGGCTATAGAGGGGAATGGAGAGTGGTGGAGGAAGGGGCAACAGGGGAGTCCCAATGATGGGAAGAAATACATGACTGAAAGAATCTGAAATGATTCATTAAATCTGGATCATTAAATGATTCAGAATCCCTTGGAGAAAACTCCAGGGAGGAAGTGCCAGGAAGCTTCTCAGCCCACCCAGTCCAGAGCGTTTCTTTAGCTCTCAGATGACTGGCACCCTGTCCATCTGCCTGGATTCTCATGTTTGAATATGAGCACCATAAATCAGGAAGGTGATCATGAGAGAGAGAGAGAGAGAGAGAGAGATCTGGAAATGAACCATACAAGAAGCTTCCTATCTCTGAAAGCATTTTAATTTAGAAACTTGGCAAAAGTACGGAAAGACCTCAAAGGTCAGATGGAGGTAAGATGACAAAAAAAGAAAAAAATAACTAAAAGTCCCTTCCAGCCTGATGGTGCTGTAAGTCCAGGTGTGACAGAGGACCTGGAGATAAGAAAAGCCATGGAGAGAGCAGGCAGGACAAGGATGAGAGCTTTCCCTACAATTCAGAGGCTGACACACAGAGGAGAGGGCTCTAGTCTTCCCCTGTCACAGTTCTGTCCCTTGGAAAGTCACAGCTTCTCTCCTGTCTCACTAGGCAACACCAAGGTGCCACCAGGCCCTAGAAACCGATTCCATTTTATCTTGTTCCCCAAGCTTCCTTCAGAGACAAGGAGACACGATTCTCCAGAATTTCAAGAAACAAACACGTGTTTCAGGAAATAAAAGACCAATGCTTACCCTTCAGAGGAAGGGAATTTAAGAAGACCAGAGGATTAGGCAACAGAAAGGAATGAGGTATGACCCAAACTGMGGTCGGGTGAAAACATGATGCTGGTGAAGGAAGCCCATCACCAAAGAACACACACCATGTGATCTCATGCATGTAAAAGCCCAAAGCAGGGAAATACACAGAGACAAAGACCTTCGGGCCTGGAGAGGAGGGGAGAATGGGTGGGAGGAAAAAAMCCAGAGTACAGAGTTTCTTTTTGAGGTGATGAGAATTCTCTACACTTGACTGAAATTGACCATCTTATGTGATGGTGTCTTCACACCTCTGTGAAGACACTTAAAACCACCAAAGTGTACATTTTAAATGGGTGAACTGCCTGGTATGTGAAAATAACCCAATAAAGCTGTTTTTAAAGTAAGGTGACCATATGGAAAGACGGCCCAGATGACTCCTGAGCCTACAGCATCCTGGCAAGAGGCATGGCTTTTCCACTATGACCCGCTCCCACGAGTCCTTGTCCTACAGACCTCAAGTTTCCCCAGGGACTCCAGGGGGCCAACTCCCATTGCAGCACCTGGCTGGGTCTTACCACAGAGGGTGCTGAGAGCAAGAGGGTCTGACAGCTCTAACCATTACAGATGTCTCTGACCTCTGGGCTCCCCATCTGAACTGGAACACCCCCCTTTCAAACCCTTAAGCTATGCCCACTGGAGACACACACACACACACACACACACACACACACACACACACACGACACTGATGAGAGAGAGCAGTTTGCTTGGTCTCCTGTGCTGAAAGCCTCTCCTGATTTGCTGTTTCCTGTACACAGCAGCCCAGGACCTGTTTCCAGCCATGAAAGGAGGCAGGTGCCTCAGTGGCTTGTCTCCTCCCACATCACCCACCTGTCCCAGCCACTCTGGTCCTCTCCCTATTTCTTAAACACATGTGGACCCCTTGCCTGGTCCATTCTCCCTCACAGGGTACCCTCCCTTTCTTTTTCCATGTGTGGGCTTCAATTTCCCTTTCTCCATGAAGTCTAACCTGCTGTCTCCATTTAAAATTCTAACCCATCCTCCTTACCTCTCGCTCCTGTTTTCCCATAGTACAGATCATACCAAGTACTTGCCTTTCCTGCTCAGTAAACTCCCTGGGGAGCATGGCTTTTGTCTTCTTTGTTTCCTCAATGGACACCTGACTCCTAGAATACTGCCAGAAAACAGTAAGCATTCCAATGAATGAACTCCCTCTCTAGAACTCTGCTTTAGCTTTCAAATGGAACACCTGGACCACCAGTCTATTATTATCACAGGCTCCTTACTCGAAATACATCTTCTTCTAACCTCCAGAGCCCAGCCAAGGAGCCATCCTCCCACCCCCTAAAACAATGAGCCTGTATCACCAAAGCTAACAGAACTTTCACCCTTGGCCTTTCCTACCCTATCCCTGCTTCCAAAGCACCATGACGAGGCTAGACCTTGGCAGATCTGGAGAGAGCTGGCTCTTCATCCTAGCACCTGCTCACATCCTCCAAGAACAGTGCCTTCCACTGTTTTTTTGTTTATTTTTTATTTCATTCTGTTTTCACATCTTGTCTCTACTAAAACATCCTAAGACAGGCTGGGAAAATAAATGTAGACTTGTTTGCAAACATGGTAACTCTATCTCGTCTCATCTAGTAATTCCCTGTTTACTTTTTGTTTTCACCATAATACCATAAACTCGTGGAGAAGAGAAATTGGGCTGTCCTGGTCACCAGTGAGAACACAGTACGTGTATGATATCCACTGGAGTACATAGTAAGAGCTCATGAGTTGTCTCTGATCATTATCACTATCATGTGGCTTGTCCTGGGTCTCAGTGAGTGACTGCCAACTATGGTAAGTGACTTACCAGAAAGGAGCCCCAGACCACACAGAAAAAGTCTTCTGGCTCTTTCTAATGGGAAGATTTACTCAGCTCCCCCTACTACCCAAAGTTCTGCAAAAGACACAGGAAAAGTAGTTCAAGAAATTGTGTTCCCAGATTCCTAACAAAATTCCAGGGTAAAAAACGCAAAACCTGGGATGGATGGAGAGGAAGGGAGCTTGGGAAGCTGGTTCCAGGACCACCTCTGATCATCTCCCAGCATCGCTTAGGACTGTGTGAGCGCCCCCTATCGGTACGATGAGACCCTAAGAGAAGCTTTCCGCCGGTGTAGACAACTCGGTCCTCCACCTTTCTTTCACTCGTCTCTAAGTTCACAGAGTTGGTGGGACTGAAGGAAATGACCCTCAGAAGCTCCAAGAGGCTGAACTGGAGGAAGAAAAGGAGACTTAAAGCCCAGCGTCGCTAGAGTCTGGCAGGAGTTGAAGAGAATCGCTCAACAGTCTGGGAATAGGAACATGGGAAAGTTGGGGTGGAAAGTTTGCAACTAGGAACAGAGAGAAAACCAGACACCACACAAGATCCCCGCAAACAGAAGCGAGWGAGGGAGAACGCCCCGAAGGGTGCGGGTGGCGCCAGAGGGCGGCACGGGGACAAGGTGCGCGCGAGTGGGGAGGYTCCGGGGAGCGCCCGCGCGCTGTCACCGACCCACCTGAGGCTGCCATGTCGCGGGGGGCAGTTCACATCCCCTGCTTAAAGCGTGCCCGGTGCTCGGTACCCGGTGCTTGGAGATGTGTCCGAGCGGTGTCCGTCCCTGGGCGCGGGGCGGGAGTGGCAACCGGCTCCGCGCAGGACCAGCGTCTGCTCTAGAGCTTCCTCCAGACAGGCCGCGAGGACTCGCCGCGAGGGCGTGTCCACAAGGCCCGCCCCGCCTGAGGGACTCGGCTGTGGCACCTGCACCCGAGGCAGTTGGGGAGGGGAAGTGAGAACCTACGCGGACCCCAAGGCTGGCCCGCTCCCTGCACGGCCCAGTACGCGGGGGAAGAGAGGAGGCAGGGGCTTCGCGCCTCTTGCGCCCCACTTCTCGTGAAAACCGGACTGGTTCTTGATCAGCCACCAAAGAACAGTCCGAGGTGGGGGTGTTGGGGTGAATAAAAGGAGAGGAGAGGGCTGTTCGAACTCAGGGACCTTAGGTGAGGCGTCCCAGCCACCTCCTCATCCCCTGGGGCTTGTCCCTGAGCTGCTGCCTCCGCAGCAAAGGCGGCGGGGGGGGGGGGGGGGGGG